GGAGATATCTGGAAGAGTGAAATGTGTTCATTTCAAGCTCTAGCGGGGAAGAAGCACTGTCTCTAACGTAAGAGGTTTTTACACTTACGAAACTGCCCATAGCAGTTGCTCGGAAACGCTATGTGATTGCGGCCTGTGCCCAATGGGTCTGTGATCAAAGCCCATTATTTTGCTCTCCCTGATATATTTTTTTCGGAATTTTTTTATTTCACTTAAAGTTGCTCTCTATCTTTCTTATGAGAATTACGAAATAAAAATGTCGAAACTTGTACGCATTTATTATTTTAAAAATATGTAATTACAAGCAGGGACGATGTAAACACGACAATCTTATTATTTCACTTATTCGTATAATACCAGTATAATTCACATAATAATTCATATAATATATAAAAGAGGAAGTAGAAGAGGAATACTTATAGCTTCTCTGAGACGAGATAGTGCTGAAGCGAAACCACAATGGCTCTACGTCTCTAAGCAAGGGTTAAGACGAATCCCTTCGCAAAACATTTTCCTGCTCCAGTAATCACGTTCCGTGAACGAAAATGAACGTGGGAAATGGTTGAGCGAACTTTTTCACCATCCCACCCGTAAAACATAGCCCAAGAACAAGACTCCAGGTAGTAATTTAAGGTCAAGGGATTGTCCTTACTCACTGATTTGGAAGTTTTGTTTTTAAAAACTTTTCGTCATGTTTATTTGCTGGTTAAGTGGCTACACGAACTAAAATGAGCCGGAAGTTTCCTCGGCGGTGTGGTTTGAAAAAAAAAATGTTGAAATCGTTTTAAACCGGGAGATTCACTCGACTGATTACATTATTGAAGTTGTTTTTCCAATGCTGACTTTAATTTTTGTGTGTTGCTTTAAAGGTGATTTTCCTTGATTCTCCAAGTTCAAAAGCATTAGATATTTGAGAAGAAAATTCGCTCTCCATTAGAACGCCATAGAAATGTCATTCACGTGACATCAAGTGAAAAAATGTATTTACGAAAACCATCCGGACTTTTTAAATTTTGGATTAATCTGAATGATTTTCGAGAAGAGCATGAGGTGCGCATTTATGCAGTTGTGAATTAATGAATTATGAAGTTGTCTATTGAACTACTTTGACTAAAATATGCTAATGGAAAATATTTGCTGAATACAACCAAAGCAATTTTGGGAAAGCTTTTGATTATGACCCCCCTCCCCTCGGAAATCTTTTTGGGAAAAGTCAGCAACACCTCATGACTCATGGTAAAGTTTATTAGTGTCACCTAAATAATGAATTACAACTATACCACATAACTGCTGTTCAACATTACAACTTCATTTAATAACAACTATTTAAATTTGTAGATATTCTATCTAGGTGTTTTTAATGGATAACTAAAGACAGCATAAAATTGTGTACAACACTAGAACCGCCCTGTGCTTAGTTTTAATGTGGAATCAGTTCCACATAGATTCTTCCTGATCTTTCGTTGTTTGCCGTAACCACATATGAGAGTCTGTGAGATAACCGAATAATTTATTGACTCAGTGTCCTGGTTTTATACGCAAAAAAGTCATCACTTCTGCGGAGTCCTTTGACAGATTTTGACATTGATTGTTTGAACTCCGCGAAGATGTTAAGGAAACAGCAGCCTTAGATTATGGCCTGCAGAGTACTTTTCGCATATACGAAGCTAGTTCCTAATGAATTAACGGCTCTCTGGGAAGCAGTAGGTGCATGATGTGCTTAACTTATCTTCATTACCTCAACTGTACGTTATATGAAAAACAACCAGGTTGGAAACGACAGTTACTCTGCGACGGCTTCAGTTCGACGTCTGCAATTTACTGTGATTCTCCTTAATTAAAACAGTACATTATTATTTAAGCACTTCACGGGAATTGCGTTTATTTTAATAGGTTTCACTTTCTGACACATTTCAGGCCAGAAGGGCATCTTTTAAGTGTTTCTGAGAAATGTTCTTTCAGAAAGCTTGCATAATGTTTGAGAAAAATATGTATTTTCGTGTTCAAAACGTAAGATAAAGAAGAATAATAAATTTCCAGTCATTTTTCTTTGGGAGAAATACAAATCGTGTGTTTTACTGGATTGTTTTGACTACACCTAGACATGATTTACGTGAGTGTCAAGTCTTGATCAAATAAATAACACGCAGGGAATTTTTTATACATGCTTTAGGGGCACTAATGAAGGTATTCACTTTCAAAATGGACAAATATTGTAGATTTCGATCAAGTCATTGCTATTACGTCATTAATTTTTGACCCGACAAAATACATGTTTGTAATCTCTTCGATAAATAACATTTTTATCAACTTAACTAATTATATTATGTACTCAGCGGTAGGATGTTTTATCGTGTACTGGGACTGTAAATAGCTTCGAATCAATGTTGGCCTGGAGTCAAAAACTGGAAAGTGATTCACGTGGAAGATCGTAATCATTTATATTTCAATTCTCAGAATTATTAATTTTATGTAATTTTCCCATTTTTATTGGTAAAAGAATGGTTGATTACTGAATTACAACATAATGGCTCGTTATAAGCTTGTTTCTTTCTTTTTATTTAGGTTTATAAAGCAATGTACATGTGACGAGCAGCTTATTATATTAATTTATCTCAATGTAACGAACAATTTGTGGAATTGTTTCACTGCTTCGGTTAACTGTAATATTAAAACTGAAGAATTTCATTTATAGAATTTCGTCGTTTCAATTCGTTCGATTCGATCAATCATTGAAATTTTAATAAAGCTATTCATTTAACGAAGAATGTACATCATCATCTGGCTTAGATCATAATTAAAATATTGGTTTTGATTTTCATGGACTCTTTATGAAGGGCTCTTTGTGATTAGGAACCCTTCATGTTCCATAAATCATTTTCCGTTGAAAGTAGCGCAGAGACTAAATGCAGGCAGCTAAAGCTCATTTTCGAGGCTCCCACAGGCGATTCGCACGTGACTCGTCCTCTTCCGTTTCTGCACAGTGGTTCCGTGCAGCAATTGTTTAGCTTTCATGTGTTCATACAGGGAGTGGAGTGTGTGATCACCGCGGGGGGTGAAGGACCCGCCGAAGTCGTCTCCACTGAAGGTTTGTGGGTTTGAATCCCAGGTAAGACACGGTTAAACGCGAAAGGAAACCACAACGAAGGGAATAGTGTAAGTCGTTATTCATTTCTTCGTTGTACAGGAAATCATAACATTCGTTCTCAGCGAAATGGCAGTAATGTTTCTTCAGGGACAAGGTGCTACAAGGGATACTTTTCTACAACTATTACCTGAATTAAATTTAGGAAATTATTATCATCCAGATCCGATTTACGCTCTTCTGAGTGCTCCTATATTATTGATTATTACTTTAAATACTTTTAGTTTTTTCCGAATAGTTACGTTCAGATTTGTAATACACTTCTCTGAATGGATATTTTCTTTCTCTTAACCTTAATGGCACATGCACGTACCATTGTTCGCCGCAACATCAACTAAGTTTGAACATTTAGCAAATTATACCACTTTAATATTTCTCACAAATTTACGGGGATACAAGAACACATCGCATTTAGGAGGCAATACCGCACAACTGGGACGAGAACTAACTAAAGAAGGAGGAAGTAAAGGGGTTGACGTGAAATGAATGGTCTCATACTACTTTTTTGTATTACTATTTGTATTACTTTGGTAGAACGCTGAATTAACAATTATTTTACGTTAAAAATTGTACAAAATGATTATTTTATTTCAAAAAAGAATTTGTATATTATTTATTTATTATGTTGTTATCTAGTTATAAATGAATGCCTAAAAATTTAAAAAAACATGTATCTTTATTTTAAAAAATTACAATAATTTAATTCACTTTAAAACGAAATTACAATGATTTAATTCACGAAAGGGGCGTTTGAGGTGGAATTCTCACGTGTGTATGTGTAGGTCAGAGTTGTTCAGTGGGTGGGGGGAATCGATGTGAAAAAAATTACAATGATTTCAGTCAAGAAAGGGGCGTTTGATGTGGAATGTTCACGCATGTGTGAGTATAGATCTTAAAAGTTGATCGATGTAGTGCGGGTGTAAAAATAAAAGTTCAAAAAAATAAAAACATAAAAATTAAAAAAGCGACCACATTTTTCGATTTGTCTCCTACTTTGCCAGCCCAGGGCCGGGCCCAGCAAGCCTCAATACGTCCTACGTTCGGTTGGGCTCTCCCCGCGTGGCGCTTGGAAACCTCAGAGCCGCGGTTCGACCCGATTCCCTGCTTCAGCGCTGCGCCGTGCCGCGCCGGCGGATGTAAATATACCGTGCGAACCGGGTCTGCGCGGCCCGCGACCGTCGAGCAGGCGAAGAAAAGTGCTGTCCTGCGTAATTGGACAGTAAATCACACTTTCTGCGGGAGCCCTGGTCACGGAAACCTGTCCTGCCTGTGCGCCAGCGATCCCACTGTTTGCTCCTCTTTATTGAGTCAAGCCTTGTAAATACAATAAGTTGTTTCGGTTTGCGGATGTTTTTTGAAAGGTTGATTTTAAAATGAAGTTACTTAATAAAAATTAAAGGAAAAATTAATGGGTTCCTTCATTCGAAGCGCTATAAAAGTTTAATGTTAGTAACTTGTGCATGAAATGGTTATTTTGCTAAATTTATGGAATATTGCTTTACATATCTTGAAAGTTGTTATGAGATATTTTAAATCGCAGTCATACTTTTTGTCAAATAATTACTCCTAAGAAGTACATTAGCAATGCACCTGTATTATAGTAATTAATCAATAATTCTGCTGGTTGTTGGGTATTTTGAATGAATGAAAATATACACTATTACATTGTAATTTATGAAAGTGAAAACAAAGATAGAATGTGGATTAGGTAAAATGCGTTTGTTTTTGTGGCAGCCAATGGGGTTATTGCCTTATCACGGAAATTGAGGGCGCAAATGTTGGTCCAGTGAGTCACCCCCACATACAACTCGTGCGCAGCCTTGTTTACGCCGCCCCCATCACGAACGTTACTCACTTGTGGAAACGATCCATGGTCGGGGAGCAGGCGGCACCGCGGCGTCCACTTCGGATGAGGCCACACGTCGACTGATAACAGGTCCACCGGCGGCGAGCACGCTGGGTGTCACTCACTGATTACACGTCAGAGCACGTCCAGCGGTCGGCGCGGGGGCGGAGGCGGGCGCGACGCGAGCACCATAGCAACAGGCCGGCAACAACAACAATAACGCACACGGCACACGTCGTCGGCGGGGTGGCACGAGGCGAGGCGAGGCGAGGCGCGGGCGGGCGGGCCAGGCCGCGGTGGGGCCACACGAACTAGTGACTCCGCCGGTCCCCGGACGCCCTCGCGCCGCGGATACAGACTTCACGCTCAGCCGCGTACCCCTCCCACCTGCAGCCTCTGTCTCTCTCTCCCCTTCCCCTTCCCTGTCTCGCCGTGGCTCTCACGCTCCTGTTTGAGCGTTTGTTCCTGCCGCCGCCGCCGCTGCGCTGCCCACCCACCCGTCTGCGGCGTTGGTGCGAGCCTCGCTGTAGACGTGCGACGAACGTCGGAGCTCCTCCCGTCGGTTGACGTAGTTCCCGACATGGCCGCGCAGATGGCGGGGCGGAAAGTTTATAGTCGTGGTGCGGGGCATTGCCTGCAGAGCGCAGCACCGCCCCGCCCAGTTTGTTTCCACGACCTTGGCAACATCTGGTTCTGGGACGAGCGATGTTCAAATGTCAGAGAGGCGTTGGCGAGCGTGGGTCCGGTGTGTGCCTGTCTGAGCATGCGTCGGTGTGCGTGTACGTACTCAGAAATATCCGCCCATTCCGGATTAAACATATTTCTCAGAATAACGTTTGATGAGTAAGCGACGCGAAAATTTCCGTTCTACCGTCGTCATTACACGTGAACACTACGGAAATTCACCCAAATAATTTACAGATGACAGGTTACGTATAGTTGTGTAATATCGGTAAAATTCTAAAACCTCAGGTTAATCTGTAGCGCAATGTATAAGTTTCTTGAAATTCTATTTTTAAAAAAATCGATTATGTTTTATCTTCCAGTACTAACATGCAAATTTTTCGTACTGAAAATATATTAACTCAAAGGATAATGCTAATTAAGTTTACGATTTCTCTTTTGCTGATAAACCTTCATCTTTTAATTGCAAGGAAAGACATCACCTTAAGCACCTTAAACTTTACCCACTGACAGCTTTTTATCATTGCATGATTACGTTTTTTTATAGATTACATTTTACTGAAGGATGTTATACATTTTTAGAGGTAATGAAACTCTCTCATTGAAAAACATATTCACAATTTATAAAATCTCAATAACAATTTTTTACGTACTCTTTTATTCAAACAGGTATCCTTTCTTTGGAAGCTTTCATAAAATGCTGGAATTTTCCTATCATTTATAAAGTGAATTCAAAATAATTTAAAGCCGTTGTCCTCGGAACTCCTTTCCGGCTCTGGTTTAGGGGGTGGGATAATTAAACATTATTCCATAATGTGAAACTTGCTTTCCACAAAACTTGAGATGTAATCCACAATACAAAAAATAAAACGTTTCGGAACTGGAAAATTTAATAATCCTCCACTGCAGTCATTCAGCTGATAAATAAACAAATGTGTGGTAATTCTCGAAAGTTACGCTATTGATAATCGTCATTTGATGAATCAGAGAAAACAGAGTACAAATAATGGCTTATGATAAATCGAGAAGACAATAAATTTCTTGTTTATAATCTAAGAAGCCAGAAGAAAGAGAATAAAGAAATGGCGCCACGGTCGTGGTGACAGGTGATAAATTCTTCTCAGGCCAGCGCCAGCTTCGTGTACTGTGCAGTGCATCTATTTGTAGAGCGCGGAACGTGTAGGTCAAGCACGGCACCAGTCAGACCACTAATCCATTCCATTACACAACGATTTTAATATGCTCATAAAATGTTTGCACGACAGGCTCTTTTCATTATTTTCCATTACTCATCTATGCATTTAGTATTTCATATTAATATAAAAACTTCGTTATTTATAAAAAATAGAGCAAGCGATGAGAATTACTGGACAAATAGCGCTCGAAACTGTTTAACGAATAATTCTCTGCAGTTTCCAACTGTTCTCTCACAAACAACATTGTAATAATATCGAGTTTTTTGCAAATTCCAAATGAAAATCAGTCATTTTTGTAGTTACTAACAAGAGAAACAGACGTAATTAGTTGGCTGTGAATCTTGAGTTTCATTTTGTTCAATGCGAAGTACGTTAAAAACTAATCTCCTTGCATTTATTTACTCACTTCACAAACTTTTTTCTGCGTCTTCCTACAACTACAATTAGGAAAACTAATTTTTTTTTATTGTGGGATGAGTTCATCTATAACAGATTTTTAAATAAGGTTAAGTTCAATTTTTAGAAAACATTAGTATTTTTCGCGAAATTTTGTGTCAAACATACGCAATTTTTATTTTCTTTAAACCACCTTTTCTTAAAAACCGCACGTTTTTTTATTAAATTGGGAACTTAGGTAGCATAAAGAACACGGAAGAGCCATTCTAATTAATTTATGTATTATAAATAACATCCAATAGCATACATTGTAAATAATAACCAACAATGCACATATTGTAAATAGTACCAGTAGTATATATAATAGTCATATAGAATTAATATAGTAGGATAGAATTTACACCAAGCCAGACGGGAACTTAAATATGTGTGTATATATATATGTATATATATATATATGTATATATATATATGTATGTATGTATATATATATATATATGTATATATATATATATATATATGTATATATATATATATATATGTATATATATATATGTATATATATATATACACGAAATACATCTGTTAAAGAGAATGGTGTAGGTCTCATGTTCATTGGAATGCGTGATTTTACGAAAAAAAAACAAAAACAATCGTCTTCCTACAATTACAATTGAGAAGACATATTTTTTTTCTTAATTTAATGTGTTCATAAAAACGCAGATCTTCAAATAAGCTCATGTTGAATTTTTTGAAAATTTTTGTAAATTTGTGTTTTTGCGTAATTTTCCGACAAATATAATATAATCGATTAGACTGCGCTTCTTTTTCGGCGTCTTCTTGCACGTACAATTGTCAAAATACAATTTTTGTTTTTCCTTAACAAATGTGTTCTTCAAATAAGGTCATGTTCAATTTTTTGAAAATGAGTATTTATTGTGTAAGTTGGCGACCAAATTAAATGCTTACTGTAATTTTACTGCGCTTCTTGAACGATTTCACACATTTGGATGCTTCGGAAGTCAGAATTTGTATATTATTTAATATTGCTTTCTTCGTTTCTTACAGTCGACTTTTTGTTATAATTTTACATATTAATCGTTTAGAAATTATCTCGGCAACGGGAACGTGAAAAATCCTGACTCCTTGGTGTACTGAGAGCAATGAACAGATCCTAACTCCTAGAAAATATCACCTTTGATTTTAACGGAAATTTGATGGGTATAACAAAAATATAAATGTTGCTGAATGGAAGTTGGAAAATTTTGAATATTTTAAAATTTAGAAAAATCAGGGTTTTTAACGGAAATGAGACCTGCACCATTCGCATGCATGTCCTTCATACTATCGAACAACAAAATTTAATAAAAAAGCTTTGGAGATTTTTTTTGTTTTTAAAATGTCCCCGGGGCTTAATGTTCAGGGAAAGGAATAGCTAAAATTCCAATATATTAAACATTTATTCATTTTTGTAATTTATTAAAACATTGTATTACATAACTAATATAAAAAGTATTACATAAGTATTATTAAAGGCGAGCAATTGCGAGCTTTTATAGTTCCAGTAGTTTTAAACTGATACAGGAAAACACACAATTTTTATAGAATACTATAAGACATTATGGGTAAAAGTAACGAAGAAATGGAGGTGCACATGTAAGCTTCCGCGGCTCCAATCCATAATTTCTTGCCTATCCGGGAGACGCCGCGTCGTTGGCTGAGAGGCCTACGTCACTGCTCTGAGGAAGCCTGCATCATGAGAGGCGAAACGTCGGCCTCTGAGCCAACGACGCGGCGTCTCCCGGATAGCCAAGAATTTATGAAGAAATGGAGGAAAAAATATTGTAACCTTTAATCATTATTATTGTAGTGGCATGGTTTGTGGCTGCTAGAGTGTAGGTGTGGCAGAATCTTCAGCCATTAGATGAGGCTTTAGACTTAAACTTTATATTATTAGTCTTATAACGAATCTAGCATCCATTCCCAAAAAATTGGGACTTACTCTAGTTTTCATTCACTATGAGCAAATGTACAAGGACTTAATTGTAGATTTACAATTGCATAATAATCCAAATTCCCTTATTACACCTCCATAGCCACCAAATATGAAATCTATTATTCGTTGAGATACATTACTGAACTGCCTAAAAGAAATATATATTCAAAGAAATCTTGAACTAATACGAATGTAAAAAGAAATGCATTTATATAGGTGGAAATACCCCAACAAATTTTATCATCTGCGAGTAAGCCTACAATTTATGAGATCGATCATAAATTGAATATTTTACTCAAACTAAATATTTAATAGCAATACACTGAATGCATAAACATAGTGCAAATATTTTTACGCATTTCAATATCACAATTTTTAATTTCTACATCTACACATTGATGACTTAATATACTATCAAATTCGATATTTTCGGGGTATTTATTTGCAATAGTGTATTAAAGCCATACATTTTGTTTTACGTCAAATTAATGGAGCCAATGAAATAAAATAAATATTTTCTATTAAATTATTCATTCAACGAATACTTTTCTTAAGACTACGTATCTGACCTACCAGTAAGTTACGATGGTTGATTCCGAAATTGAACATTCCAAAGAGAGACCTTCGTTAGAGACAAGTTTTTACATACGTGACGTATGATTCGAACGAACAGTATCATACTCAGGAATGGGCTATTGTCTTTTCTGCTGGAAGTCAGGGTTGACCAAGGAGGTCGCTTTGTAAATCCAGAGGCAGGTTGAATCAACGGATTTTCCGGCCAAACGCCAAACACCGATATTTTCAATATTAGTAACATTAACAAATTATTAGCACCCATGAAAAGCATAAGTAAGTTCATTCAATTTTTAATATTCATATTAACGGTCGTAGAAAATGAAATCCCATGCCTAGTTTCATCGTCATTCATTATTTAAAAAGCATAAGGCTTTTTCTGCCACATTGGTTTATTTAGTGTTACTCTGATTAGGAAAACGTGTTATT